CCCCAGAGCGAACAGGGATTGACCCCAGAGCAATTGGGGATTGACCCCAGAGAGAACAGGGATTGACCCCACAGAGAACAGGGATTGACCCCAGAGCAATTGGGGATTGACCCCAGAGCGAACGGGGATTGACCCCAGAGCGTGTCCCGATAAAACATAGATCTGAGAATTTTGGTTTTTTAGTGCATTAGTGGGAACGCGCCAGGACTGAAACCAGGACAAAACCAGGGCCAAACCAGGACCCAAACCAGGACCAATCCAGGACCCAAACCAGGACCAAACCAGGACCAAACCAGGACTCAAACCAGGACCAAACCAGGACTCAAACCAGAACTCAAACAGGACCAAACCAGGACACAAATAGCGACATGCAGACAAACAATAGAGCACCCAAAAACAAACACTTTCTAAAATAAACGGTTTAAGTGGGATGTAGCAGCAACATAAAAGTGCTGTAAATATCACCATAATGTTCTGGGTATTTTTGTTTGTTTTCTCCCACGATGAAAACAGTAATTTAACCCTTTCTTCCTGTTAAAATACATAATAGTTCTTTGATAAAACAACATGGCGTCTTGACCAAAACCATGTCCGTTGTCGTGTCCAGTCGAGCTTTCGTCGATGGTGTGGGGGCGGGTCAATCTGGAAATCAAATGAGAAAAGAAAATCTACTTGTTCCGCCAAACGTTGGGTCGAGTCCCGCCTCTTTCTTCTTCTACTGTATTTGGAGGCGGTGGGCTCAGATGACGTGGAAGCGCGGCCCGGGGGTGGCGGTGATGTCACTGTACGGCTCCTCCTGCACCAACTCCACCGCCTGCTGCTTCTTCAGAACCAGGAAGCTGTAGAACTTTGCAGCCGCTTGCTTCCTGTTGTTGTTCCGACAGAGGTCCAGGAGACTCACGGACTGGGCCCCGGTCTTGTCCATCACCCTCTGACCACACCCAAGGCAAGGGACAAGGCAAGTTTAATTGTATTGCACAGTTTATACACAAGGACACTCAAAAACAGAACAAGACACATAATCACAGCGCATTAAACAGAAAGATGAAAATATAAAATCCCTCAGTTGTAGTCCAGTCGCTTTTTTAACCTGGATTTAGACATTGTTAGCCTGGTCGTACCACACCATAGTACAAATTACATTTCATACTAAGGTCTGGATTTGCTCTATGGATTAGCCCCTCCCACCTGTTGACTCCGTTAACAGGTGGGAGGGGGTTAACTCCTTTTGCAGATTGAAACGATTGGATCTGAGTTTACTGTGACGTATGTAATGAGCCCGAGTGAGCCGTTAGCATTTAGCATTTAGCCTAGCTTTAGCCATCTCCTTTGCCGCTAACGGAGCCCGTGGGGAGTAGCGCCACAATCTTTCCAGAGATTACATTTGCTAAACATTCCTCTTGCTCCGGCTTCAGTTTCTTGATAGAACCAGACCAGAATACTTTACTATCACAGTCTTCACCAAACTACAACCTGCCCGTTCGACTCAAACTCTTGACGTCACCCACAACTAACTACAACACCCGCCTCCCGCGCTCTCTGATTGGTCGGATAGAATTCAACCGATTGTAATCACAAACACAGGGACCAGACCCAGACGTTACATGCAGGAGATGGATGGATAAGGCCAGGTTTGGACATTGTCAGAGAAGAAGCCTGTCTCACATTTTAGGAAGACTGGAAACTATAGACAGGGACCAATGTGTAGAATGTGTTGTGTTAAGTTGTAAAGTTTGTCTTGGCTAAATATTTGTGCATCTGTTTTAAAGAAAACATACTATGCGTTATTTTTGCCCATGAACAATGATAATGAGACTTTTCACTTTGTTATTTTGTGTTTTAGAATGTGGAATATTATCTTGTATTTGGTAAAAACTGTCTGAAGGGTAAAAAAGCCTATCTGCATGTAACTCCCGATCCTACCACCAGGGGGAGATGGATTTGTTTTCAATTTGTCACATATAAAAAGGATCAGCTGTCAACACATCATGCAATTGAAAAGAATGTAAATTAAAATTGCTAAAACTAATTTGGGGGCAATACTGTCATTTTTAGTTATTTTATACGTTGATTTATTTTGACACATGTTCTTTGTGGTTTGGTTTTATCTATGAAGAAACTGAAACCGGAGCAAGAGGAATGTTTAGCAAAGGTAATTGCTGCAAAGATCGTGGCTCTACTCCCCACGGGCTCCGTTAGCGTCAAAGGAGATGGCTAAAGCTAGGCTAAATGCTAAAGCTAGGCTAAATGCTAAATCCTAAATGCTAGCAACTCACTCGTGCTCATTACAAACGTCACAGTAAACTCAGATCCAATGGTTTCAATCTGCAAAAGGAGTTAACCCCTTCCACCTGTTAACGGAGTCAATGGAGCAAATCCAGATGTAATTTGTACTATGGTGTGGTACGACCAGGCTAATGTGACCGATGTCTTTTTCCTTTTAAATAAAACCAAAAGTGAAAGTTCTGACCTGGAGCCCGTGAAGCATCTGCTGCGTTCTTTTGTTCCATCTTCGTTCTTCCTGGTCCTGGTCTCCTCCCTGCACCTCCTCCTCCTGCAAACCGACAGGGAACACATTGTTGGTCACTACAGAATTTACATGGATAAGGAAGTAAGTGCGTATTTTTTATATAGCGCCTTTCTCAGACCACAGTCACAAAGATCTTTACAATTGTTGTGGCATTTGTCTCTGACTCCTCACAGAGATGGGAGGTCCTGCAGGAGGCACATGTCAGAACCACAATATGTTACATGTTTTTAGGACAAACCGGAGCAGGAAGAGAACATGCAAACTCCACTCAGAAAGGTCCTGTTCCGACCGGGATTCAAACCCAGGACATTCTTGCTGAGAAGCGAGAGGGCTAACCACTCAGCCAACTATCCACAACAACCATCAGCTGTTGTTGTGATAGTTGTTGCTAGCATACGGTACGTGGTGCTGAAGCAGAAAGTAAATGGATGCACAGTTGTTATTGTCATGTCGTCATCAGGAAATGTGATAATGGGTCATTATCCCATTTACCTGGATCTGTTTAACCTTTACTCACTGAAGAAAATAATGATTTTCTTTCTTATAAAACCTTTGTATTTTAATTATAGGCTTCTACCATAAGTTTGATGGTAAAAGTGGCTAAAACAAACTGATACACTGCAAAAAATGATAAAATTTGAGGTAATAATGACTTCTTAATCTGACACATTCTGACTGTGTTCAAACCAGATTCTCAGCGGCAAAAAAAAGACATTTAGTCGGATTTAAAGAACTGCTGCTTTACTGCAAAAGTGAAACGTTGATGACAGTAAAAGTGTGGAGCGACCTCGTCCTCGGAGTCGTCGTCCGTCTTCTTCTTGTCGCTGAGCAGGTCCAGGTCCAGGAGTTGACTGATGGACGGTTCCTCTGGAGGCAGATCGTCTGTGGAGGTCTGCTGCTGCTCCTCTGCACCCAACTGCAGAACACACAGCAGGGGAAAGGTGGGCATGTTGTTTAGAGCTGATCTTTCACCATGGAGCAGACAGGGATATGTCACAACAGACTAAGGACTTTGGATTTAAGTCTTCTAAAGTCACAGCACACTGCAGTCTGGACCCGAGGGGAAAGAAATGACAGTAACAGATGTAACAGCTCCATCACCACATGGAACAATATCTATTTAATAAAGTGGTTCTCACCCCCGCTGCTCGGAGCTTACGTCACTCACATTTCCTGTTCAAATCTTCCTCTAAATGGGCGTAGCCTGGAGGACTGAAGGGGGCGTGAACGAGACTGGGCCGTTTACATTGCTCTGGGCGGGGGGCTGCTGACGTCAGGTCCAACTTGCAGACGTCAGGTCCAACTTCTGCGCCAGTGTTGGCGCCAGATTCAAAGTTCAAATGTAGTAATACAGGTCGCCAGCAGATGGCGCCTCACAGACGGTTTTAGGCAGAAAGTTTAACTTTCAACTAATTTGCACCAAAGTGAAAAAACTATGACCAGGATATGTAGACAACCCTATTGGACACTCATTTATACTGTTTATCAGCAAAAAAAAGTGGATTTGAGGGTGAGTTGTCCTTTAATGTATTCCTTTCGAGCTTATACAGACCACACCAACAAATATATACAACCCACATCACTGATGCACCGAGCATTACACATTTACACATTTACATATTTACATATTTACATATTTACACATTTACATATTTACACATTTACATATTTACATATTTACATATTTACACATTTACATATTTACATATTTACATATTTACATATTTACACATTTACATATTTACATAGCCATTATACATCGTTATTACACACAATTTACTCCGTGAGCTCGAAAGTGGGAAGAAAAACACTAAAATAATAATAACTCATCCAGTCTATCTTTATTTGTGGTTATCAAACACAAAAATCAAAGTGTGCTTCAGGATAATGTTAGAACTGCTTCTCCTACTTTCAATTTTAGACGAGGAACGGCAAAAGGTTGAGGTTTGAGGATTTAAGACGGTGCACAGGTTTATAAGTAAGGCTCAGTAAATCAGAAACATATGAAGGCGTCAGACTTTGAAAGGCTTTTAAGAACAAGGATTCTAAACTCAATCTTTGCCTGAGTCTGGAGCCAATGACATTTTTTACTATTCGTGCAATGTGACATGTATGAACTGTCCGAGTAAACAATCCACAGCATTTTACAGAAGCATTTTAGTCATAAGTAAATGCAAACTCACAGGCAGTGCTGGCTCTGCCTCCGGTGTCTTGCGCTTGACTCCTCTCTGACCACCAGGGGGCGGCATCGCGGACTCGTCCAGGGTCCTGCTGCCCTCCACGGCCGCGGACTGCAGAGCGCTGGCCTCCTCCATCAGCGTCTGGTCTGGAGCACAAGGTTCAACTGTCACTTTTCTGAGCATTTTAATTTATTGTAAACCAGCGATGGAACCAAACTGTTTAAGAGTGAGGAAATGGTTACATGGACTTTATTTTATAGAGCCATTTATTGTGGTTTGAAAGTTAGGTACCACTGTTAATCAGAGGATAACAATACTGTGAGCTGAACATACCTCCATCACTCGATATGTGTAAGAAAGAACTTGGAAACATGGATTCTTTGAAGAAAAGCATTACACTGGATAAAACATGTGTCCCATTTGAATTATACAACCTACATGTAATTTCACTGAGTTATAGCAGTAATAGACTTTAAAGGTCTGGGCACCAGCAAGGTCTTGCTGGTGCCCAGAGTCGGGACTAAAATCTAAAATCTGGGAGACAGGTTCCTACTCTGACAATTTTCCAGGTACGCCTCCCCCCTGGACTGCCACCTTAACGTGGTGGGGGAGTTTGAGTACTCGGATGATCCTGGAAGCTAGTATGCTGTCTGGGGCTTCATGCCCGGGTCTCCAGGGTCTCCCATGGCAGACAGGTCTCGGGTGACGAGTCAGACGAAGCGCAGTCCAAAACCAACCATGGACAGCACTACGATTAAAACAGTGACGTCGCCCGGCATGGCGGAGCCGGGGCCCCACCCTGGAGCCAGGCCTGGGGTCGGGGCTCGAAAGCGAGCGCCCGAAAGGTCGACGTGGGCAGTCCCTCCTGTGGACCCACCACCCGCAGAGGGGTCCGTGGTGGCGAGGTGCAGAGAGGACTGGGCAGCAGTCGAAGGCGGAGACCTCGGCGACCCAGTCCGCACACACAACATCTGTGTATGAACTGTGCAATACAAATAAACTTGCCTTTCCTTGCCTAAGTTTGTACATGTTACCACTTATCACTATAATGTTAAAATGATAAAAGCAGTAAAGACAGCAGCTGTTTCTCAGTGATTACCCATGATGCCTTGCTGCTGTGGCGCTGTGGTCTCCTCGCGCGGCACCTCAGAATTCTCCAGGTCTTTGAGGAACTCGTCCAAACTGTCGGCTTCTCCTCCTTTCCTCCTCTTCCTCAACTCGTCTGGGACCAGAGGCGTCAGGCACCGGGTGAACATCTGCAGGAGTCAACAACAACAACAACAACAACAACAACAACAACAACAACAACAAATGAAAACATAACACAACAACATGAACACATAACACAACAACATGAACACATAACACAACAACATGAAAACAACAGCAAGATTCACTAAATTACAATAGTGGTATTATCAACATGAATAACAAGAGTTTTCATACATGATACAGTTCAAATCACACATACACACACACATACACACACACATACACACACACATGCACACACACATACACACACACACACACATACATGCACACACACATACACACACACATACACACACACATACACACACACATGCACACATACACACACACGTACACACACACGCACACACATACACACACACTTTTCCCAGAACGCAGCTGAGAGAGCGAGCCTCACCTTGAGCAGCCGGTTGTTCCACAGCGGCTGCGCGGGCAGAGAGAACAGCTTCTCCACGCCGCCCGTCTCCTTCCACATCATCAGCTTCTTTGTGGGCGGAGCCAAGTCCAGCGTGGTCACGATGTCGGAGTAATCAGACAGCTGCGCCCGGATCGTCTTACTGTCCAGCTCCTTCACACTGTCCACGATCAGCTTCCTCTTCCGCTTGGCTTTAGTTTCCTTCACTGCAGGCACAGGTAAAGACTATGTGCAATATCTATCATGTGCAATATCGACTATGTGCATATATCTACTATGTGCAATATCTACCATGTGCAACATCTATCATATGCAATATCTACTATGTGCAAATATCTACTATGTGCAATATCCACTATGTGCAAAATATATCCTGTGCAATATCTACCATGTGCAACATCTATCATGTGCAATATCTACTATGTGCAAAATCTATCCTGTGCAATATCTACCATGTGCAACATCTATCATGTGCAATATCTACTATGTGCAAAATCTATCCTGTGCAATATCTACCGTGTGCAACATCTATCATGTGCAATATCTACTATGTGCAAAATCTATCCTGTGCAATATCTACCATGTGCAACATCTATCATGTGCAATATCTACTATGTGCAATATCTACTATGTGCAATATCTACCATGTGCAATATCTACTATGTGCAATATCTATCCTGTGCAATATCTATCATGTGCAATATCGACTATGTGCAAATATCTACTATGTGCAATATCTACCATGTGCAACATCTATCATGTGCAATATCTACTATGTGCAAAATCTATCCTGTGCAATATCTACCATGTGCAACATCTATCATGTGCAATATCTACTATGTGCAATATCTATTATGTGCAATATCTTCTATGTGCAATATCTACTATGTGCAATATCTACTATGTGCAATATCTATCATGTGCAATATCTACTATGTGTAATATCTATTATGTGCAATATCTACTATATGCAAATATATACAATGTGCAAATATCTACAATGTGCAAATATCTACTATCTGCAATATCTATCATGTGCAATATCTATCATGTGCAATATCTTCTATGTGCAATATCTACTATGTGCAATATCTACTATGTGCAATATCTATTATGTGCAATATCTACTATATGCAATATCTACTATGTGCAATATCTATCCTGCGCAATATCTATCATGTGCAATATCTACTATGTGTAATATCTATTATGTGCAATATCTACTATGTGCAATATTGACTATGTGCAATATCTACTATGTGCAAATATCTACCATGTGCAATATCTACTATGTGTAATATCTATCCATCCATCCATTTTCTTCCCTTTAATCCATTTCTGGGTCAGGGGGGTGGCAGTCAGAGATGCCACCCAAGTCTCATAGCACCAGCCCCTCACTGACCCTCTGCAGGTGGTGAGTCCACAGGAGGACGGCTGCTCTCTGAGTGTGAGCATAGCCTTGATCTTTCAGTGGGGGCTTTGGGCAAAGTGGGGTTAAGTGTCTTGCCCAAGGACACAACGACAGCAGTCATCAGTGGGAGTCGGTGGAGAAGGTGCAGAGGTGGGAATTGAACCCACAACCTTCTGGCCTTAAGGCCAATGCTCTACCAACTGAGCTACTGTCGCCCATGTGTAATATCTATTTTGTGCAATATCTACTATGTGCAAATATCTACCATGTGCAATATCTACTATGTGCAATATCTATCTTGTGCAATATCTTCTATGTGCAATATCTACTATGTGCAAATATCTACCATGTGCAATATCTACTATGTGCAATATCTATCATGTGCAATATCTTCTATGTGCAATATCTACTATGTGCAATATCTACTATGTGCAAATATCTACTATGTGCAAATATCTACAATGTGCAAATATCTACTATCTGCAATATCTGCTATGTGCAATATCTGCTATGTGCAATATCTATCATGTGCAATATCTTCTATGTGCAATATCTTCTATGTGCAATATCTACTATGTGCAATATCTACTATGTGCAAATATCTACTATGTGCAAATATCTACAATGTGCAAATATCTACTATCTGCAATATCTGCTATGTGCAATATCTGCTATGTGCAATATCTATCATGTGCAATATCTACCATGTGCAATATCTATTATGTGCAATATCTTCTATGTGCAATATCTACTATGTGCAATATCTACTATGTGCAATATCTATCCTGCGCAATATCTATCATGTGCAATATCTACTATGTGTAATATCTATTATGTGCAATATCTACTACGTGCAATATTGACTATGTGCAATATCTATCCATCCATCCATTTTCTTCCCTTTAATCCATTTCTGGGTCAGGGGGGTGGCAGTCAGAGATGCCACCCAAGTCTCATAGCACCAGCCCCTCACTGACCCTCTGCAGGTGGTGAGTCCACATGAGGCTGCTCTCTGAGTGTGAGCATAGCCTTGATCTTTCAGTGGGGGCTTTGGGCAAAGTGGGGTTAAGTGTCTTGCCCAAGGACACAACGACAGCAGTCATCAGTGGGAGTCGGTGGAGAAGGTGTAGAGGTGGGAATTGAACCCCCGACCTTCAGGCCTGAAGGCCAATGCTCTACCAACTGAGCTACTGTCGCATGTGCAATATCTACTATGTGCAAATATCTACCATGTGCAATATCTACTATGTGTAATATCTATTTTGTGCAATATCTACTATGTGCAAATATCTACCATATGCAATATCTACATGTGCAATATCTATCATGTGCAATATCTTCTATGTGCAATATCTACTATGTGCAAATATCTACTATGTGCAAATATCTACAATGTGCAAATATCTACTATCTGCAATATCTGCTATGTGCAATATCTATCATGTGCAATATCTTCTATGTGCAATATCTACTATGTACAATATCTACTATGTGCAATATCTATCATGTGCAATATCTACTATGTGCAATATCTATTATGTGCAATATCTTCTATGTGCAATATCTACTATGTGCAATATCTATCCTGCGCAATATCTATCATGTGCAATATCTACTATGTGTGATATCTATTATGTGCAATACCTACTACGTGCAATATTGACTATGTGCAATATCTACTATGTGCAAATATCTATCATGTGCAATATCTACTATGTGCAAATATCTACTATCTGCAATATCTGCTATGTGCAAATATCTACTATTTGTTTGAACTGTTTGTTTTGTTGTTGAGGAATCGATAACATAAATCAGATTCAGATTAAGTTTATTTGCCATTTGCAGTAAAACCACTTTGGAATAATTGAGCAAGACTACCCCAGTGTGCAGCAGACAGAGCTGATAGTGCACATGAGCTCTTGCCAAATAAGACTGCTGTTGTGATTTAAGGGCTATACAAAAATAAAGTGAATTAAATTTTTCCAAATTATATAAAATTGTTATGTTTTTCTGTCAGGCCCCTATAAAGTGTATTTCCTCTTTGCCGTCCTCCTATGGAGCTGAACGTGTGGTACCTGTGATGTCTATGGGCTCCAGGGCAAACGTCTCTTCCTCGTTGTGGGTCAAAGCCGCCTGCTCGGCCTGGTCCGCCATCGCCGGCAGAGGCTCCGTGGGACCGGAGTCTGGACTGTCTGGAGCGCCGGCTTCGACACAACCGCAGAGAGTATGTTACAAACACATTATGAATGATGGAAGGATGGAGTAGAAGTGAAATCTGTAAGAGGTTAGTTATTTGTCTCTCAAGCAAGAAATCCAGGTTAGATTGGCTTAATGATGAAATAACAAATAATAATCAGTTTTATAAAGCGCTTTTTTGGACACTCAAAGACACTTCACATGATTATTCATTCACTCCAAACACGGTGCTGATAAACTACCCCAAGGCCGCACCTGCCCTGAGGCACACTGACAGAAGCGAGGCAACCAGTCTGTGCCATCGGCCCCTCCCACCACTGACACACACACCAGACTCATTCTAGTCAATGGGGGTTAAGTGTCTTGCCCAAGGACACAACAACAGCACATTTTTAGTGGGAGTCGGTGGAGATGGTCTTGTGGTGGTCTCAAACCCACGACCTTCAGGCTCAAAGGCCAATGCTCTACCAACTGAGCCACGGTTGCCCACACAAACAAGTCCAGCTCTGTACGTGAGTAATCCTGTTGGGTCAAATAAAAGATGACAGTTAGTAATGAACTGACCGGAGAGAGCATCGAAGTCGTCGTCGTCGTCTCCGTGGTCTTGGGGCATCATGACGGATCCCGGGATCGCCGGAGGGTCGTCGAAGATTCCTCCTCCGTCCTCGTTGCTCAGAAGCTTGTCCACTGCACACACAGCATCACATTACATTACACAGGATTAAAATAGGACAGATTAGACTCTACTTTTTCGTCAAAGATCTTATGATATTATCCTAGTTTGACAAATTGTCAAACTGTTCACTTCCTGGTTGTGACTTATATGACCTAATGCTAGACCTACAGTTCAGAGTTTTTTCAATTTTCATGATTATGAAAATTGTAGATTGACACTGAAGGCATCAAACCTATGATGAACTCATGTGAATTATGTTCGTAGTAAAAAAGTATGAACCAAGTGTAAATATGTGTTATATTCTGGTTCTTCAAAGTAGCTCTTTTTGCTCTGATACTGCTTCACTCTTGGCATTCTCTGGATGAGCTTCAACAGGACCTGAAATGTCTCTAACAGTCTTGAAGGAGTTCCCATGATGCTTAGCACTTGTTGGCCCCCTCACTCTGTGGTCCAGCCCCAAAACCATCTGGACTGGGTTCAGGTCCAAAACCATCTGGACTGGGTTCAGGTCCAAAACCATCTGGACTGGGTTCAGGCCCAAAACCATCTGGACTGGGTTCAGGTCCAAAACCATCTGGACTCGGTTCAGGTCTAAAACCATCTGGACTGGGTTCAGGTCCAAAACCATCTAGACTGGGTTCAGGTCCAAAACCATCTGGACTGGGTTCACCATCTAGACTGGGTTCAGGTCCAAAACCATCTGGACTGGGTTCAGGTCCAAAACCAACTGGACTGGGTTCAGGCCCAAAACCATCTGGACTGGGTTCAGGTCCAAAACCATCTGGACTCGGTTCAGGTCTAAAACCATCTGGACTGGGTTCAGGTCCAAAACCATCTAGACTGGGTTCAGGTCCAAAACCATCTGGACTGGGTTCACCATCTAGACTGGGTTCAGGTCCAAAACCATCTGGACTGGGTTCAGGTCCAAAACCAACTGGACTGGGTTCAGGTCCAAAACCATCTAGACTGGGTTCAGGTCCAAAACCATCTGGACTGGGTTCACCATCTAGACTGGGTTCAGGTCCAAAACCATCTGGACTGGGTTCAGGTCCAAAACCAACTGGACTGGGTTCAGGTCCAAAACCATCTAGACTGGGTTCAGGTCCAAAACCATCTGGACTGGGTTCAGGTCCAAAACCATCTGGACTGGGTTCAGGTCCAAAACCATCTGGACTGGGTTCAGGTCCGGTGACTGTGGAGGTCATGTGGCCCAGCACCATCCCTCTCCTTATTGGTCAAACAGCCCTTACACAGCCTGGTGCGGGTCTACAGCAATAGTCATGAAAAGAACTCAGTGAAGGAGGAGGGTGTCCACACTTTTGCTCTGTACTGTATATCTTATAGCTCAGAATCTGCATGATTCCTTTGTTACATAAATCCACACTGTAGTTTGGAAAGAAAATAGAGAATCATCGTAAATTGAGTGGTTTTTTTCATGCCCAGCTCTGGCCAACTGATCTCTGTTGTACAGAATTTATGCTAAGTGACACCGTGACAATCGATGTCAAATCAAATTGTCAAACCATGATTACTTCTGTCTATCCCGCAGTTCTAGAACTCCACTCTACAAAAAATCTGTAATTACTGCAATAGGGCAATTATATATCACATTTATAACACCATATTGTATAAGAATGTAATATCACACTTCCACCTCTAGAAGGGGATTTTACCATATTTTTGACCAAATTTTTTACCCATATTTTTGATATATGATCATATTCTAAAACATGAAATGTATAATTATAAATAAGAGCAAGTTTAAGGCCAAATTGAATGCTGCTTTTTCATATTCAACAGGACTACATTACCCAGCATGCCTCCCTCGTTGGTCTCCATGGGGTTGTCCCCGAAGTCGTCCTTGTACTGGTCGTACTCCAGGTGGTTGGACTTGTCGGTGTGATTGGCTCCGCCCTCAGAATCCAGCAGCAGGTTGGAGGCCGACGCCCCCATGATGTCCACCTCGAAGGCGCTGCCGTCACGCATCATCTCCCGGTCGTCCATCCCAAAGTCGGCTGCGGAGGAAAGATCACGGTCAACGTTTAACTTTCATTTTCATCTTGCGTTTGGAGAGATATTCTGTCTGATTATGAGGAAATATAGATACAGTTGGTCACACGGTATTGAATCATGACTTAAAGGAGCAGTGTGTAAAAATGTGTCCAAAAGTGGTACTGCAGCCTCTCCCACTCTCCCTGACTCAGGTTGCCAGATATGCAGACGAATCCAGCTGGGACCATAACAGCTGAATAGACAAGAGTTTTGTCAACAACAAATCTATAACCAACACCTTTTTCACAAAGATAGAAATCCTGGTTTTATTCCTTGTTTTGTCGTTAATGATTTGAGAATCATAACGAGACCTTTTTTAGTTCTGCGCCACATGGTACTTTACCAGTGAGATTAGCTCCACGCGGTGAGTTCTGGCGCCCGGATCACAGACTTTCTGATTGGTGAAACGGTGGAGGGCGGGACATCGAAATGAAAACAATAACAAGATTTAGAGGCTGGAAAAGTAATTTAGAAACTCAAATATCTCTGAACTACTGTTATCAGTTAAAGAAGTATTGGAAAAGAGCAGTTTATTATTATGAGAGATTAGGGCCTTTAATGATGACAGATTAGGGCCCTTTAATGATGACAGATTAGGGCCTTTAATGATGAAAGATTAGGGCCCTTTCATGGTGACAGATTAGGGCCTTTAATGATGACGATTAGGGCCCTTTAATGATGACAGATTAGGGCCATTTAATGATCACATTAGGGCCCTTTAATGATGACAGATTAGGGCCCTTTAATGATGACAGATTAGGACCTTTAATGATGACAGATTAGGGCCCTTTAATAATGACAGATTAGGGCCCTTTAATGATGACAGATTAGGGCCATTTAATGATCACATTAGGGCCCTTTAATGATGACAGATTAGGGCCCTTTAATGATGACAGATTAGGACCTTTAATGATGACAGATTAGGCCCCTTTAATGATGACAGATTAGGGCCCTTTAATGATGACAGATTAGGACCTTTAATGATGACAGATTAGGGCCCTTTAATAATGACAGATTAGGGCCCTTTAATGATGAAAGATTAGGACCTTTAATGGTGACAGATTAGGGCCCTTTAATGATGACAGATTAGGCCCCTTTAATGATGACAGATTAGGGCCCTTTAATGATGACAGATTAGGGCCCTTTCATTATGACAGATTAGGGCCCTTTAATTATGACAGATTAAGGTCCTTTAATGATGACAGATTAGGGCCCTTTAATGATGACTGATTAAGGCCCTTTAATTATGACAGATTAGGGCCCTTTAATGATGACAGATTAGGGCCCTTTAATGATGAAAGATTAGGGCCCTTTAATGATGAAAGATTAGGACCTTTAATGATGACAGATTAGGACCTTTAATGATGACAGATTAGGGCCCTTTAATGATGAAAGATTAGGACCTTTAATGATGACAGATTAGGGCCCTTTAATGATGACAGATTAGGACCTTTAATGATGACAGATTAGGGCCCTTTAATTATGACAGATTAGGACCTTTAATGATGACAGACTAGGGCCCTTTAAATTGCTACTGTACATGTATAGTATTTTTACCTTAAGATGGTTAGTGTCATGGTTGAGGCCTATGTCCTGTTTTATTTTGAAACTTTCCCTGTGCCTTTTTCAGTTCTACTTCCTGTTTCCTAATGACCAGCCCCGCCCACCTGTGTCTCCTTAATCTTCTATGATTTAAACCCTGCGTAGTCCTTCACTCTCTGTCATTGTCCTTTCATGTTTTTGAGTCTTCACCCCCAGTTTGGTTACGTTTTCTATTTTTACTCTGGATTGTTCTTTGTGTTTACTTTTATTAAATCACTTATGTTTTCAGTCCTGCGTTTTGTGTTTGTTTCATTTAGCCCGGTGACAGATGTGTTGTGAAGTTTCCAGTTTTGCTCACAGAAGTCGTTGTCCTGGAGCAGGCTGAGGTTCCCCACTTCTTCTCTCATGGTGATCTCCTCGGCTCGGCTCTGGTTCAGGTTGAACTGCTGAGCCACGTCAAGGTCACTAAAACAACATGTGAAAATGTGTTAAAGATGACCAGCCCTGGATTGATAGATACATATATCCATCCAACAACACTTTAGGTCACAGCTGCAGAGGAGGAGATTTTCTCTGCTCTGGTCCAAAGTAAAATGCTTCATGCTTTGATAACATTTTTTACAAAGTTAGCATTCCTCCACTGGATTTTAGCCTGATCCGCTGTCTATAAAGGCTGGCCCTTGAAAATCCAGGGAAGAAGGTGTAAGGACAAGGTACAAAAGGGAAGTGGGCAAATCAGACCCTTAACTGTGGGATAAGGATTGGCTCTTAGGACTGGGTTGGTCGGGCTGGGTCGGTCGGGCTGGGTTGGTCGGGCTGGGTCGGTCCAGCTGGGGTGCGAAGCGAGTCTGGGCACTTGCATGTTTGTGTCTGTTTGTCTTCTATAAAGCACTGTGCACACTGAAAATCTTTGGTCGTATTGTTAATAAATTATCTTCTGCTGGACACGATTCCAGACCTGTGCATTTCTTGTCCCTTTTCCTCAATACTTTAAAACATAGTGATTGTAAATATGTCTCTAAATCCAGTGAACGCTGGACTCACTCCAGGTCGGGCAGCGGCTGGTCGAAGTCATGGAACTCTTCTGGGAGTGTGATGGCGTTGTAAGCGGCTTCTCTGTTCTCCTCAGGGAGATCCACCACACCTGCACACACACACACACACACACACACGCACACACACACACACACACACACGTTTTTGTTACCTGGTGGGTCCCTTTGACAGGGCCGTTCAGAATGGGACCCATAGACATAATCTTTTGTTACTGGGACTACTTTAAGTAATACAAAACAGTCAATAGAAAACAAACAACTCTTTTAAAGGAATTTTATTTTAGATTTTTTTTTCGAATTGCAGTGATTCTATTTTTGACATAGAATTTAATGCCACTCCATGTCCGATGTCTAAGGTCATCTGGTGAGGCATTAATGCAGGCCAGGCCAGGCCAGGCCAGGCAGTGAGACTTCCCAGGGACCTTTCCAGTCTGTATGAAAGGTGTCATGGTCTTCTCCACAGCCTTCACCTCAGATGCAGACCATGGCTTTCTTACACGTTCTAGGGAGAGAAATAAAAATATATTAGCAATATACACTCCCAGGGTTAGGACCAAGCAGCCTGGCTGTAATCCCCCACCTGGTACACTTACCAGAAGGGGCACTGCCACTACCATGGGGTGCATCTGGATGAATGGTTGAAGGTTCTCCGCTTGAAGTTTCTTTTAGCCCGTCCGTTTGTGAGAGGATCTCTACTGCTCTCCCTGTCGCACAGAAAATAAAAATACAAGTGGCCTTTAGGGGAAAAAAAATCATACATATTTTAATAATATCAAGAATTACCTTCAGGCTCAATTTGTATCTGGTCGAGGCTCTTTCCTTCGAATTCCGTCACTCTTCCCTGCTCCATGGCCATCAACACTTTGCTGATTTTGGCCAGCTCCAGTGTCCCCTCTGGTAGTCTGTAATATTGCCTGTGGATGCGAATGTCATGGCCGAGGAAGTTGGCAAGTATGTCCATCTCATTCTCTTTCATATTGAGAACTGTAGACATAGTAGCTATGTGCTTTCTAAGTTTGGTTGAGGATAGCATCTCTGGATGCACCGCACCACATTCTTTGGCTACCTGGCGTAGGGAGTCTGATCCCCTGATGTGGGTGTCTGCGCCCGGGCGGGAGAAGAAGTATGGGTTATGGTCAGAGATGGAACAGGCCCTTCTGTTCTCCACCAGCACCTCCATCGAAGCAATCATTTCAGGAGTCAAAAGAACCGGCACTTTCCCACTTCTTTTCCCTTTAATTTCAATGCGTTGAAAATGCTGACACAGCTTTTTCTCAAGTTGGGACAGTCCCAGAGCAATGTCAGAATGGATCCCAGTCTTACTTCTTAAGGTAAAGGCTGTCAGTGGCATCTTTGAAACCTCACCTTCCCTTCTTCGATTGAAAATAATGACCTCACAAAGAGTCAAAACTGCCAGTTTAGACCAATGCTTAGACGTTGGCTCACTTATTAGGGTTTGCACATATTCAGGTCGACATACCTCAATATGTGCATGCATGGCTCTAACGTCCTCAGTCAGAGGGAGCAGGTCCGGAGTGTTCCACTTGGCTTGCCGGAGGGTCTGTAGGGCAGCAGAAGAAACACAGACGTCCCACCTCTTCTCAAAAAGCAGCCGGCTTCGTTGGAGGTTTTTAATAAATAGTTCATCAACACAATGCTCCATTTTTGAGTCACATTCAAGAATATCTGCTTTCTGAGGCTATGGCCGAGTTTGAGGGCCAAGGATGGAGTCTTGTATTGATTTGTTTCCTCATCATATCCAGCCACAGACCTGACTGCATCAATCACATGGTTAAAGTTGGAAGGAATAAAGAAATCCTTAATTGTTTTCAGTTTCCCTGCGGTTTTTGCTTCGTTAATTAACCTACCGACTTCTCTCATTTTCTGCCTAATGTAATCATGCTTAGTCTTATCATGCCCGTGTTTTAAGTACAGGTGCTCTCCGAGTCTCAGAATCCCCTTTTCTGCTTTGACAACACCCGTGACCTCATCCTGATGCATTGCCCAAATTAAAGAGCACAGCTTTTTGCTGATGCCCTCCGGTACAGGCTGGGCTAGGGAGCAGAGGGACTGGACCCCTACTTCTACCTGGTTTAGCCTGGGCATCTTTCTGTGAAAGCCGGCACCTGGCCACATGCCTCCACAGCCACTTTCGCTTAAGCAATGCCCCACAGTCTATACAGTGCAAAAACTCACTGGATTTAACTGGGCAATTTGGCTGTTTAGCTGGGACTAAAGTTCCAATGCCGGCCTTTAAAACCTCAACATTGTGCTCACGGTTTCCACTATTCCTGATCAAATCAAACTGAAGTTTACGTGCTTTAGATTTCACAGGTAGAGCCAATGCTCTGGCTACGTCACTTTCATTTCCATGTTTTCTAGTCAAATGACGGGACATTTTGTGGCAGGACATTGAACAGTAGAGGCAGAAGTGTCTCTTGCTGTAAACTCGCCCCCCATTTTTCTTCTTTTGCAGCTGCATGATAACAATCTTATTTGCCTTTGGTTCGTCACTTTCCGAGTCTTGAAGAAAAGTGTTTTTGATTTTTCTTTTTCCATACTTTTTACAGGTTTCTTCTTGACAGTTAAATCGTCAGAATCTGAGTCGACTTCATCAATTAGGGACTCTTGACTAAGCTGCACAAACAACAAATAATTTGTAATCATTCTATATAACAATTTGAAGTCATGACTTGTAGTCAGCACTTACCAGTGGTTTGTAAGCGTGCGCTTCAGTGTGCTCCTCCATGATTTCTTGCAGCCTAATGAACCACACACTTGCACCTTTTCTAGCCTGACACCTGATTTCCTCTGTTGTGCTGCTCCATGATTGGCTCCAGCCTGCTGGACTGAAATTGCCCCAGTGTGCCCCTCCTTGATATTCCGCAACCCACCACCAGGGTTCCGACACATAACACACTTTTTTCAGGAAAGTAAACCTCCAGGGGTCCTTTCCATATTTTTACAGAGACTGCATAAGGACCGTTAGAAAAGCATTACCCATTGATTATTAAGCTTGGACCAGTGGGGTCCGGTGTTCGGGCCCCACCACGTAAAACCAGTCCCCATGACGTGAGTGGAATCTCAGGTTATGGAACCCCCCAGGAGTTGAAAACAAGTGCACACAAACACACACATACACACACACACACACACACACACAAACACACACATACACACACACACACACACACATAAACACACACACAAACACACACACACACACGGCTGTTACTAAAAGTTTACCAGTACAAATATGTCTCTGGAGTTGACTGCACAGCTTTCGCTCCCTTCTGAGTGTCTGATGAAGGGTGGTATCCCCCGAAACGTCACATCTTGTGGAGCTAATTCAAATCTCTTGGGAGTTAAAGCTTTGTAGAGGCTTTTGAAACTTTTCAGACTTGGATGTGCGCGTCCACTTCACTCGTGCTATAATCTCAGATGGGCTCAAGACACTTTCAAGAAAAATGATGCCTTTTATGATGCATTTATATAGAGTCAACATTTTTGCAGTGAATCTTCTCATTCTAGTATAAAAGATTGTACTTTATGTGAATATGAGGTAATTTCTTCATATGTTGTTACTTGTACTCAACACTTTTAAATCTGTGTAATAGATAAAAATGACATCACAAACTTGGACAGAATTATCACATTTCAATATTTCGCCAAAAACCGTGCAGTTGCGGCGGCGGTCACCTGGTCTGAAGGCCATCTTGATCTTGATGAAGGCCTCGTTGCAGTCCGCCAGGAGATACTTGGCCTTTCTGTGGTAGATCCGCACCACGCCCAGGAGCAGGTGCCCGGAGGTGCGCAGGGCCATCTTCACCTTTGGAACAAGATTATCGTTTTTACATTCCATTATTCGTGACTGTCTTTATCAATTCATTTTCTTTTTTTGTATCAGATTGAGTGTCTGTGTTTTTGTCTCCGGTAAAATCTCGTGCAGGCTGCTCTTCTGCAGTGACACAATCCGTGACCTCTGCTTTTTCGTAATTTTCTCTGTTGTCCTGTCTTTGTCTATCTATGTTTTTTGTTGTACCTGTATGTTTGCCCAAGACGAAAGTCTAAATCTGGAGACAATATCTTATATTCTCTTTTAATTACTGGCAGCGAGTCCTAAGTGTCTCTGAAACAGTTGTTGTTTTGTGTTTTACAATTGTTATTAGGCTTGAGCCCCGACTGTGACATGCATGAAAACTTTTTATGGAACCAACAATAGTGACTTTACATTGCGCCGCTGGGAGGGGGTCCGAGGTCAAGTTTGTCGTAGAGCCACAAAATGCGGTACACATGTTCCTCAAGTCAAGAAATGATATTATGGCCCCGCCCTCTGACAAACAGGGAGCTCATTAAGTTCAATGGAAAATTTAAAAATTAAAGTTGATCTGTCGGTTGGAAAGCAACTCCTCCTCGGCCGATTCACCGATTCGCCTCAAAATCGCTCCACATCATCTCAACACATGTACCTTCAAAATGACGTCAAGGAATGTTAGTCAGTGAAACATTCGAGCAGCGGAGCGGCAACATGTGACCTTTTTTCCCCCATTTTTGACAATAGAAAATAAGCTCCCGTTTGCACAAACAAAGTCCGATTTGTACAAAGATTGAATCCATTGTTCAGCTCTAGGGTCGAGGTCATTTGAAAGTGAAATAATTGAAATTGGC